CTTGTGGGAATATTTTTCCCACTCCATGAACACAGAAGCATTAATGCCCAGAATAGTATGCACACGTTTCTCCAGGGAAACATTTGCAAGTTCCCTCTTTCTACATTCAAAACTTTGGCATCAAATGCTGTGAAAATACAGTCACCTGGGACTGTGCTGACACAAACACAAGATCAGCCATGACTGACCACTATAATCAGTAGAAAAGCTCAGGTTATGTGCTCATCGGGTATGTAGCTTAAAAAACGAAGATGCAAAGAAAGTTCCAACAGTGGCTAGCACCACGTGGCTCCCTCGGTGCTTGTCTTCTCCACTGCCACCCACCTGGAGGCGCCACACTTGGCACTGGGGCTCCTTCTTCCTGTATACTTGACATCTCCCAACACCTGGTAACTCCCACACCCACCCAGATCCAGTGCTACCCGAGGAATGGCAGACAGACATTCAGCTGTCCAGCTGATGGTTTCCACTTGGCTGTTTTGGTCCCCAAAGGCACCTGCCAAACCACAGCTCTGGATCCTCCTACAAATTCCTCATCCAGACGTCTCTCTAGACCAAAACCTGGGGACTATCCTGCATGCATGCTCACCCTCATAGTCACACCTCTGCCTAGGTCCGTCCAGGGCACAGGGTACTAGCTGCTGTCCTCTCCACCCTCCCAACTCCTCATGCTGCCTGCCCCGCCCCTCCCACAGTAGCCTGCTGGTGTTCTGAACTATCTGTCAATGTGCTTCAGCCCCCTGGATCTGAGGTTATAGGAAATATTCAAAACTGAAAATTGTATCTGTCCTGAACAGAAGTAGATGTTTCCTAAGCTGCGCAATGAGTGCATCAGCCATTCTCAGAACCTGACAATGCTGCCTAAAACATGGGGGCTTAGATGCAAGGCATGCATATTGTGAGTTGCAGAGCTTTGTTTGTTGTGGGGCTGTTTTTTCAACACAGAGTTTCTCTCTGGGTTTGGTGGCTATCTTGGAACTTGCTCTGTAGACCAAGCTGGCCTCAAACTCACACAGACCTGCTTGCCTCTGGCTCCTGAGTGCTGTGATTAAAGGCATGCACCCCATACCCAGTCAGAGTTTTGCTCATATAGACACATAATGACTTAATTATGGGGAAAAAAGACTTTGGATATGTCCCTACCATCATCTCTCAGCATGTAAGTATAAAATTAGTATAACTTTGAAAGTAACGTGCTAGAATGTTCATTTTTAAGCTACTATTTTTGAGGCAGGTGGTGGTGGTATACACCTTTAATCCCAGCCCTTGGGAAGCGGAGGCAGGTAGACATCTCTGTGAGTTTGAGGCCAGTCTGGTCTACAGAGCGAGTTCCGGGACAGTCAAGACTGTTACACAGAGAAATTCTGTTTCAAAAAACCATAAATGAGTGGTGGCCTGGTATGGTGGCTCACCCCTTTAATCCCAGAATTTGAGAAGCAGAGGCAGGTGAATCATTGTGAAGTCCAAGCTACCAGCCAGGTCCACATAGTGACTTCCAGACAAGCCAGAACTACATAGTGAGACATGTCTTTAAAAAATAAAAGTGGCATCCCACTAGTTTTTTTAATTTTGTTTCTCTGTGTAGCCTTGGCTGTCCTGGAACTTGCTCTGTAAATCAAAGATCTGCCTGCCTCTGTCTGCCAAGTTCTGGATTAAAGGCGTGCGCCACCACTGCCCAGCTGACCACAGCAACTCTTATAAAAGAAAAGCATTTGATTGGGGCTTGATTACAGTTTCAGAGGTTTAGTTCGTTGTCAGTCATGACAGGAAGCATGATGACACACAGGCAGACATGATGCTGGAGAAGGAGCTGAGTGTTCTACATCCATATCCCAGGTAGCAGGAAGATCAGAGCCACTGAGCCTGGCTTGGGCTCTTGAAACCTCAGAACCCACCCCCAGTGACACACTTCCTCCAACAAGGCCACACCTCCTAATCCTTTCAAATAGTGCCACTCCCTGGTGACCAAGCATTCAAATCTATGAGCCTATTGTGGGGTGGGGTGGTGGTGGTGGTGGTGGTGGAGACATTCTTATTCAAGTCCACACAGTCTAAATATAAAGAGGTCTGAGGCAAAACAGCGTTGCCTGCCTGCTGCCCTCACTTCTGAGTGAGCATGCCTATCCTCTCTGGTGCCATTCTCTCCTGGCCTCAGCGTCCAGCTTCTTCAACCTTCCTACACAGACCGGGTGCCAGTGACACCCAGGGATGCCCAGGCCTTCAGTGCAGCACTAATCAGGGCTGCCGAGAGGCACCTGGCTTTATAGCCCTTACAGGTTCTCAGCCTCTCCAGCGTGCAGACAGCAGACAGCCATTATTGGCCTGCCCAGCCCCCACTGTGTCCTGTTCTTCACTCACAAGCCTTAATACACTCACTGCTCCCCAAGAAGGCAGCTGTTGGTGGGGTCTGAGGCGCTTAGCTTTTGGCTGTTGCCGTTGCTGGCTTCCACGCTTCACCCTGGACACTGCAGAGGAAGAAATTGTTGTTGCGGAGCACCAGTACACCAAGAATTCCCAGACAGAGAAAGGAGCCTGCACTGGGCATTAGGAAAGGAGCCTGCACTGTGCATTAGGCCAGGATCACAACTGAGACATCTGGGTTGCTAGGTTCAAACCAAGAGCACATTACCCAGTGGAAGTGATTTTATATAACCTGAGTCTGTGCCCTTTGTCAGTGGACCTTGATAGGGGTCTTTCCTTGGGGTTGTGAAGGCGCAGACTCTGCCAGGACAGTAGTACTCCTTGGAGTGCCATGCCTGAGTCCCACCCCATAGCACAGGCCTACCGGTGAAGCATGGGGTCTACCAGGTGAAGCATGGGGTCTACCAAGCCCGGTGGCATTCCAGGTGACTCAAGGAGCTATATGTGTCTTCCAGACATGCTTGGAAGTCTATGGAGAGTTTACCTACCTAGGAAGGGTCTCCCTGGCTATCCCGTGGTGTTCTTTATCCACAAGAAGCTTCAAAAGAATCTAGAATCTTTTGAAAACTAGACAGAGATACAGTTCTATAGTTAGTTCTATCTTGCAGTGAGATTAAAATCTTAGTTTAGACACCTATGGTGGACAAACTCCAGAAAGACTAAGAACTAACACCGCTAGTGACTGCAATGTTCAACTTCATACTTTACTTCCTAGTTGGCCATGACTGTGATATTAATATTGTCAACTTCAAAGAATCTAGATTCACCTAAGAGACAAACCTTCATGCATGCCTGGGAAAGAGTTTCTAGATTGAGTTAGTGAGGGTCAGAAGATCCTCTGGGTGGCACCCTTCTGTGTGCTGGGGTCCTGGCCTGAATAAAAGGGAAAGCAAGTTGTGACCCAGCACTCATCTCTGCTTCCTGACTGTGGCTGCAGAGGGGACAGCTGTCTCAAGCCCCTGCCACCCCGCTTCCCCACCATGATGGGCTGCACCTTCAAACTGTGAGCCAAAATAAGCCTGTCCTTCCTCAAGCTGTTTTTGTCAGGTGTCTTGTGACAGCAATAAGGAAAATAACTAACACAATGACTTGAGCAAATATTTCTTGGGCGGGTGGGTGGGGCCGTGAGAGCCACGTGCATTCCTGACAGCTTCCTGCCGTCTTGTTTCTAGTTGCTGAGAGAAGCTACGGTTCATGGGAGACTTGAAAGCTACTTCTGATGTGTGTCTTCACTTACTGAAGTGAAGGGAAGTGGCAAAGTGCAGGTGACACCTGCAGAAGAAGGTCTCAGGCGAGATGCCAGGGATGCATGCCCTGTGGTGTGCTGTGCTGTCTTCCCACTGATCGGCACATCTGGCTTCTGGGATGTCTTCCTGCGGCCACCTGTCCTTGCGGTGGGCTCTGTGTCCACACAGGCCCAGGGGTACCTTGTTACTGCTGTCAATCTTGCGAGTACTTGTTCTGCTGGATGCCGTATGCATGGGGCTCTAGATGAGTGACAGGGACGCTGGAACTTGGAAGCAGCTGACACGCTACAAGCAGGTGAAGGTATCCTCAGGATGTCATGAGATGGATGTGTTTTGGCAAACGGCACATAAAACACATGTGATGCTGCTGCACGGGGTTGGTGACAGAGTATCTGAGGATGTGACAGAAAGGCTCTGCTTGGTGACCCCCATGGCCCAAATTTCTTTATATGAGAAGATCCTTGTTGTCACAGATGAACAGAAGATACTGATACTGCTGGGTCCCTAACAAGTCATTTCACCTATCTGCAAAATGCTTTGGAGGAGGGCAATGGAAACATCTGGGGTTACAAGTGTGGTCACGAGTGTGGCTCAGCCACAGTAAGAGGCTCTCAGCTTCTGGGCCATCTTTTCCTGTATGCACACCGAGGGTAGCTTATTTTTCAACGCACAGCCCCTTTCGGTACATGGCCAGCTTCACAAACCAGTTGTGGAATCCTGAGTTTATGTAAGTTTAGTTTAGTTCAAGTCCACTACGAATACTTCAGGGGAAACTCAGTGTTGGCCCCAGGACTATGCCATTTGGCAAGGCCATGGAGGACCCATGACATACAGCCTCTGTGGGAAGGGTGTCCTTTAGGGGTAAGCCCACAATATTGTCCACGCCCAAAAGGGCGTGGACAGTGGATGGGCCCAGGTGAGGATAAAAGAAAAGCAAAAGTAAAAGCACTTTCTCTTAGAAGCTAGCCACGTTCCCAGAGCTTCTATCCCTGTTTATCCTGTAAGTATATTTAATAAATATATTAGACCTCCTTGTCAGATAGCATTATTAACATCTTTATCTGGTGTCAGAAGTGGGATTTGGGCATGGACAATATTGTGGGCTCACCCCTACAATGTTCCATTGGTTAGGGGGTCTCTACGTGTACTCCCGCTGGATTCTGGACTTCCAAATCTCTCCACCTGCCAAGATGAAGAGTCAGATAACTCTGCAGAGACCTGGCCACATCGTCCTTTATACAAGAGCATTTGGCTCCAGGGGCAGCTTAGGGCAGATGACCTGGGGCAGAGGACCTGGGGCAGGGAACCTGGGGCAGAGACTTAAGGGCCCACCTTGCTTTTCTCCTGCTGTAGCTCAATCTGGATATCCGTGAGCTTGGCTCGCAGCTCCTCGTTGGCAGCCTGCAATGCGGCGAGTGCCTCCGCTTTGTCCCCCTTGGCCCGGCTGCCCGCGCCCTTCTTTGACATGGTGAGGCTGGATGGCCAGAAAGACGCCCAGGGGCAGCTGCTCCGTCTGGGCCAGGGTATCCACGCCAAGCTCGTGGCAGGTGTTACTCCGCTACATTTTCTCACTCACCTAGAGGAAAAGCACACCCTCAGTGAGCAGATTGTATATGGCTGGCTAGTTGCTATAGTAGCCCCTGAGCCATGGACCTTCAGCCTAGAGCTCACGGCCTTGGTGTTGGGGCAGGGGCATGGTAGATGCCTTATCCACTCTCATCGCAGAGCTGAGGACGCTGTCTTTACTGTGCCTGCTGAGAACCAGCATTGGCCACAGAGGCATCTGCCTTGTGCAGTGCCCTCAGACAGGGACTCCATGCATTGGCCATGCAAATCCTTCGCTCCTTTAGGAAGAGACTGGTTCGTAACTCTAGAGTTTCTTATGTGAGTGTGAAACCCATGATGGCAACAGTAAGTGTAAACCATGCATTAAGAATGGATAGTAGAGGGAGCTGGAGAGATGGCACAGCGGTTAAGAGCACTAGCTGTTCTTCCAGAGGACCCAGGTTCAATTCCCAGCACCCACATGGCAGCTCACAGCTGTTTGTAACTCCAGTTCCAGGGGACCTGATATGCTCATGCAGGCCAAATACCAATGCACATAAGACAAAAGCAAAACAAGAATAGATGGTAGAGCAGAGGCCACAACCCAGGATCACCCCAGGGATCCACAAAGTTCACTCAGGAAACACAGGGGACTGGGCAGGAGTGAAGAGAAGGGGAGAGGGAGGGAGGGAAAGGAACACACAGGTCTCAATGTGGTACTTGTACTTCCATGCAGATGTAGGGTACCACCTCACCAAGGAGGACCCCATAACCCTCCTGGTTGGGCTCCCTGGAGCACTAGATCCCAACTTAGCTCTGGACAGCTACCTGCTGCCCTTCCCTCCTGGGAATGGAAGCCTTGGTTGTGAACTCTCTGTTGCTATGCAACCAGCTGTGACTCCTCCCAGTTGTCTGTCCATCATCCATGTCTAGAGCCTGGGAGCCAACTAGGCTGGTCTCTTAAATGGATTCAAGTTTACTCTGTACCATTGGCTAGAAATACCAGCATTTTACAAAAGTGACTAAGCAAAATGGCTGATTGCATTCAAGTACCCAGATGGTCTTAGGTTAGGGAGCTATTGTGGATGTTGGACTCAACACATGGCAAGGACTCCTCAGGCCTTGGTCTAAATCAGTGGTTCTCAACCTTTCTAATGCAGCGACCCTTTAATACAGTTACTCATGTTGTGGTGGCCCCCAACCATTAAATTATTTCCTTGCTATTGCATAACTGATATGTGTCCCCTGTGAAAGGGCTGTTCCACCCTCAAAGGGATTGTGACCCACAGGTTGAGAACTGTTGGTCTAGATGGAAGGAGCCATGGGCCCTAATGTTGCTTCACTAACCTCTGTGAGCAAGATATAGTCTTTGCGTCGGGCGGTGGTGGCGCACACCTTTAATCCCAGCACTCGGGAGGCAGAGGCAGGCGGATCTCTGTGAGTTCGAGGCTGGGCTGACCGATAGCCTCCAAAACAATACAGAGAAACCCTGTCTCAAAAAAACAAACAAACAAAAAAAAAGATATAGTCTTTTCTCCATCTTCCAGGTCTCCATACCCTGCAAAGTCTGCTGCCCATCCTGCCCACATCCCATCGGGGCAACTCTGTACCAGCTTCCAGTCAAGAGTATCAGATACAGCCCAGAACCACCTACATAAGATTCCTGCTTTAATTTACTCCCCTGACTCTTCCCATTGTCTCAGCAGCTGCCAGCAAGGTTCAGGGACCCTGCAGGACCACAATGACCATACCAAGGCACCAACATTTACCCAGTGTCTTCAGTAGCTTTTTTTTAAAACTCATTTTAAGATAAAACTCCTTGCCAGGCAGCGGTGGTACAATCCTTTAATTCCAGAACTCAGGAGGCAAAGGCAAGCAGAGTCATGTGAGTTCAAGGCCAGTCTGGCCTACAAAGTGAGTTTCAGGACAGCCAGAGCTGTCCTGTCTTCAAATCCTGTCTTCAAAAACCAAAACAAACAAAAAATCCAAGTGAACAAACAAACAAACAAAAAAAAAACAAAATGAAACAAACTCCTGTTGGTGCGGTATTGCACACCTTTAATCCCAGCACTCAGGAGGCAGGTCTCTGTAGGTGTAAGACCAGCTTGGTTCTCAAATGAACCCCTAGGACAGCCAAGACTACACAGTAAGGTCCTATCTCAAGCAAAAACAAAAACAGAAAAAGAAAAATAATCTATAGGCCTTGCTTCAATAAATCCACGTTACCAGCTGCACACAGAGGTAGGCAACTTCAGGAGGGAGCAACAAAGACACACAGGGTGTTTGCTGGGGTCATTTCCAGAAGCCTGGCCAGTGCTCACAGCCTAACTTGCTATGCTGATGAGACAGTGCAGGCCCGTGTAGTCTGAGAAGGGCCACCTTGAGCTAACACTGGACAGAACTCTGCCAAACTCTGCCTGCCTGAAATAGCACTAGGGGCAGAATTCAGCAGCAGCCTGCAATGGAGCAGGGGCTCCCAAATGACAGAACCCAGAGATGCAGAGACCTGGAGACTTAGGGTGTCCTTGACTTCATGTCAGCTCAGCCCCAGACACAAATGCAAAGAGGTTGGGGAGGGGGGGTCACAGGAAGGGGCCAGGCAGTCCTGAATATGCATTCAATGCAGAAGGGCACAGGGCAGGGACAGTCGCTTTGAGTGGCTCTGGTTAAACATCTGTAGCTTGCTCTGTTTGTATCGAAAATAGCACAAAAACATTGACTATGGAGCTTGAGAGGTGACTGGGGGTTAAGAGCACTGGCAGCTTTTCAAAAGGGACCAGGTTCAAGCCCCAGCTCTGTTGTGGCAGCTCACAATCATCTGTAGCTCCAGTTTCAGGAAATCTGATGTCCTCATCTGGCTTCTGCAGGTACCATACACAAATGCGGTACAGACATATGTACAGACAAAATACCCACACACATACAATAAAAGCATCTTTAAAAGGATATGCTGAGTATTTTAAATGTTTGCTAAATTGTGTTTGACCACTAGTGAAATAAATAGCCTGGACATTCTCCTCTGAGTCTACGGGAACCCTGGGCTCTATCCCAGGACTTCCCAGCTCCCAGGCAAGTACTGCTTTGCTGTCAGTACTGTGCAGAACTGAATTTTTCATGCTTTCTTTGGTGAAGTCATTAAATTAATAGCTCCATCTACCATCTTTCATTTTGGGGTCTCCAAGGAAGTAATAAATTTTCTTCCCAAGACCACAGTAGAGGGGTGGACTGGCCTCTGCCAGTCTCTCTGTGATGAGAGATACAGCGGGCAGAGAGCTTTACGGTTGATGATTGCACCCTGGTGTAAGTTAATCACCATTATAAACCTCAGGGTACTCACTGGAGGCCTATCTGGGGGAGATTCCCCTCCCTCTCTGTCCTTGCTTGCCCACAGGTTTATTTAATGTTTAGCTCTGATATGTGTTTTGATGTCACCGTGTGACCTGAAGGACACAGAGAGGTCAGAGTAAGCCCTCAACATGCAGCACTCTTTGGAGCACTGTCCCCTTCCTGGTCTGCCCCGTAATTCATGTTCAGTCTGGACTGTGACACATAGCCTTGCAGTCTTTAAAGCAGGCTTGGCCAGAGGCCATGAGCCAGACCAATGGCAATGACTCAATGGCAACAAACACTTGTAAGTAAAGATGAACGGACCAAAGGGTAAACTGACTCAACCGGGCACACTACAGCTTCCATGACAAGATCTCTCTCTCTCTCTCTCTCTCTCTCTCTCTCTCTCTCTCTCTCTCTCTCTCTCTCTCTCTCCCTCCCTCCCTCCCTCCCCTCTCTCTGTCTCTCTGTTGTTTTGTTTCTTTGGTTTTTCTTTTGGATTTTGTTTTGTTTGTGGGGGACTGCAAGGGCAGAGGGTGGGTGTGAGGGGATGGGGAGATGAGTGAGATCGGAATGCATGATGTGAAGTCCACAAAGAATCAACAGAAGTTAAAGTAATTTTTTTAAAAGCAGGCTCAGGTTCTTTCTGGTTAATTTGTTTATGGGGAAGAAATTATGACTCTGACAATTTATTTCCATGGAAACATAAAGTGACGTTGAGGAAGGCAGCTGACACTGGTCCATCAAATTTGGAATCTGAAAGAGCAGAAAAGAGCCACAGGAGAGAGAAAAGAGCCACAGGCCATGGGGCCAGCACTTCGTTGTTAAGCAGGACCCACACAGGGATCCAGCAGCCCAGCCCATGCTGTCCATAGAGGGCCAGGGGGAGGGCAGCAGAGTCCACACCTGAGTTTCTTCCAGGGATGCCACCAGGTGAGGCCCACGGTAGTCGAATAGATACACCTCCACGGCAGTTAAATTCCTGTAAACAGAACTGCCACTCAGAGGGCAAATCAATTGGCCACTGGTGTCTAGCTGCAAATGCTGGTGACCAGAGATCAGGGTCCAAGCTGGAAGCCAGAGGAAGAAGAACCTTCCTCAGGCGGAACAGGGGGTTTCCAGAGTGGAGGTCAGCGGGGTGGACTGTTGGAGGAGGTGGGTCTCTGGGACACTGACTGGCACTGAGTGCTGATGGGAAGCTGGAAGCTGTTGGGGGGGGGTGGAATCTGGTAGAAGGCACAGGAGGGTAAATAGCAACTTAGAGCAAAGCTGAGGTCTGACTAGATGTGCTGAATCTCAGGATCCACTTTCCCCCAACTCTGCCAGCTGCAGCCACTGCCAACCCTAGAGAGAGCCTTTGACCAAAAGTTTGGTGCCCAGGGTCCTACGTGGGGTACACTATCACATGAGGAGCAGGTAGTACACAAAAGTACATCCAGGCAAGTCTGACTGCATATGTGTTTCCTAGAAACTAGAAGCAGAGACCCCAAGAGGAAACAGAGCCATGTGGCCACTCTGTGGCAGGCCCCTAGGCTGGCCAGGCACAGAAGTGACTGCAGGCCAACATGTCAGCCAGGGCCAGACCTAGCACCAGGATCTGGCTCAAGCCTCTAAATATTCATACCTTTCCTTTGTCCTATGCTTGAAATAAGAATGGTCCATAGCGCTGAGTAACTGGGAAGGCCTCTCCTTCTCTTAGTAATT